AAATAGCGGATACCTGCGTAATGCCTTTTGGCCGGGTTATGGTATTTGCTTGTAGCCGAAGGACGGCTTATCCTTCTGGAAGGCATTTCTGGTTATTACGGTGCGTGGTCGTAAAAAACATATTTTGCTAAGCGTACAAAGAAATGGTTGCGCGGCAGATGGGTGATTCTAGACATAACTATTGTTTTTCGGCTGTACTGAAATTCTTAAAACTACGGAGTCGGTATTAGCGACGGAACATGCCGCCCGCCATTGATCGCTTGCGATCAATTACATATATCGAGGGTTGAACCATCAGTTTGCTCGATTGGTAACACTGCGATCTTCTTAACAGTTCGTTTGAAAACTCCATTTGCTGTTTTTACGCTAACAACGCGTACAACTCCGTCGTCGCCAGGATGAATTTCAACAATGCGTCCGAGAGGCCATTGCAATGGAGGAACATTTTCTTCTTGTAAGAGCACCATGGCTCCTACGGTGATTGGGTCGGATTTCGGCGATGACCATTTGCTTCTGCGGATCAGTTCATTGAGATATTCCTTGTGCCATCTCTGCCAGAAATGCTGTCTTGATTTCTGCATCTGCTCCCAGATGGACAGCCTGTTTGCCGGAGTATCGGAGAAATCTACGTCTGGTATGCTCATTAATGAATCGTTGATCAAGAAATGTGCAGGAGTGAGGGCTATTAGGTCATTTGGATCGGTGGAAACGGGTGTTAACGGACGCGAGTTAAGAATAGCCTCGATTTCACATACATGCGTACTAAATTCCTCAAATGTTAATAAAGTATCTCCTGCCTTGCGGAGGAAATGATTTTTGAATGACTTCACTACTGATTCCCACAATCCACCAAAGTGTGGAGATCTAGGTGGAATAAAATGCCATGTGATTGACTCATTAGCCAGCTTGTTTGAAATTGAGTTGTTGAATTCCTCAGATCGGATGAACTCATATAATCGTTTTAATTCATTATTGGCACCGACAAAATTGGTGCCGTTATCAGTATAAATGTTTTTACTCTTGCCTCGTCTAGCGAAAAAACGTCGCAAACTACCTAGAAATGTGTCAGTTGTTAAATCACTGACAGCTTCCAAATGAACAGCTTTGGTTGCAAAGCAAACATAAACTGCTACGTAGGCCTTGATTTTATTGCGGTTGCGAAACTTTTTCTCTTTAATCATAAATGGACCACAATAATCGATCCCTGTGTTTATGAATGGTCTGGATTGAATGAGACGATTTTTAGGCAAGTTACCCATAATATGTTGCGGAGTTGGGTTCCTGAATCGAAAACATTTGATACATGAATGGATTATACGTTTGGTTGTGTTTTTTCCATTTATCGGCCAATACTGTGTACGAACTTGGTACAGCGTGTTCTGAATTCCTGCATGTAACGAGATCTCGTGTTCGTGCTTGATAATCAGATCCGTGACGTGACTCTTTTTTGGCAACAGTATTGGATGCTTGCTATCATATGCTAGGTGAGAATTAACGATTCTGCCTCCAACTCGTAGGATGCCGTTATGATCGAGAAATGGGTTTAATGTTTTCAGCGGGCTCTTGTTGTCGACCTTCTGAATTTTTGTTAAATCGTGAATTTCTTTCGCGAACGCTTGATTCTGGATCAATTTGATGATTCGAATTTTTGCCTCTTGAATTTCATTTGCACTGAGGTGCCCTAATCTTTTGGGTTTTTCGCTACAATTAATTGCGAAACGTAAACAGTGTGCTATAACCCGTATTAGTCTAGTAATTGACGAGAATCTCGATAACAGCGAATTGTCTGTTAGCGTTGTTTTTAAAACTGTGATTTTGCGCACTTCAAGCAGTGGCAATTTTTGAATCGGTGCAATCGGCCACTTGTCCTGGGGATGGTTCAACCAGTCAGGGCCGTTCCTCCACGTAAAATTATCAATGAATTCTGATACTGATTGTCCTCTGGATACTGCGTCTGCAGGGTTATCCCGTGTTGGTACATGATGCCATTGAGATTCGTTGGTGATAGTTCTTATTTGCGAGACTCTATTTGCTACGAACGTTTTTAAAATATGTGGCTGAGTGTTTATCCAATTGAGGGTGATAGTTGAATCAGACCAGAAGTAAACATTATCGAAATTAATAGGTAGAACTCTCGACACGGTTTTATATAGCTTAGCTAAAAGTACAGCTGCACAAAGTTCAAGTCTTGGAATTGTAATTTTCGAATTCAACGGGCTACTTTAGACTTTGAACAGATTAGTCGTGTGAGGCATTTGCCATGTTTATCTGTAGATCGGATGTAGATGCAGGCGCCGTACGCGACCTCGCTGGCGTCGCAGAAACCGTGTAACTGTCTATTCACTGACTCTGGGATTACAATACATCTTTCGAAAGAAATATTCGATAAAAGTGGTAACTGTTTTTTGTAATCTAACCACGCGGTATGAATATTGAGTGGGAGGGTTTCGTCCCAGTCCACTTTTGCTTTCCACAAAGCTTGCATAATAAGTTTAGCTTTGACTATTATTGGGCCTAACAACCCTATCGGATCGAATAACTGCGCGATGTTTGACAGAATTGTTCGTTTTGTAGTTTTCTCCTGAGCACTGAGTTCGGCCTTTAACGAATAAGATAATTCGTCTAATTGCGAATTCCATTTAATCCCTAATGTTTTGACTGCCTTTTCTGGATCTGAGAATAAATGGACGTTTGCTAAGTCGTTAGACAACGGTTCAATCAGTCGGTTATCATTTGAAGCCCATTTTCGCAAATTGAAACCGCCTGATTTTAACAAAGAATTTAATTCATCACGTAACCTTCCGGCGTTTTCTAAAGTATCACTACCTGTTAATAGGTCATCTACGTAAAAATCGCGTTTCACTACGTCGGCTGCCGTAGGATAATTGTGTTTCTCGTCATCTGCAAGTTTATGTAACGTGCGAATAGCTAAAAACGGTGCACAGCTCGTGCCAAAAGTTAACGTGTTGAGTTGATACACTTCTAAAGGTTCGTTCGGATCTTCTCGCCAAAAAATTTGTTGGTATTTTCTATCGTCTTCGTGAACTAGCACTTGCCGATACATTTTTTCTATGTCGGCTATTAACGCGAATTGATGAATACGGAAACGAATTAAAATTTCAAAAATGTCATTTTGTATTGTCGGTCCCGTCATTAAAGTTTGATTGAATGTGACCCTTTCCGATTTATTCTGGTCACCGATTTGACCGTATTCGTCCTCCTCATCTTCTGGAGTAACGGATGCGTTGAAAACAGGTCTATATTGAGTAGTCGTACTGTCTAACTTGACTACTGCATGATGTGGCATGTAATTGTCTCGCGTATCAGGATTTCGAACTTTCGACATGTGTCTTAAATCTATATACTCTTTCATCGAGTTGACGTACGGAAGCTTTATTTCTGGATGTTTAGCGAATCGACGTTCTAACGCGAAGAATTGTCGGCGCGCAATGTTGTATGTGATCCCGAGCTTGTCCCTTTTATCATTAAAGGGTAATCTTACTACGTATCTGCCTGTTTCGTTACGGTATACGTTGTCTAGAAAATGTTGCTCGACTTCAGCTTCTGAGGAGGACATGAATTTGGTTTCTGGAATTTCTTCTAATTCCCAAAATCTGGAAATGTCATGGTGTATCGACTTGATAGATAAATTGCAAGAAATGGTTCGAACACTTGATTCATCCTCCGTTATTTTACCTGCGACTACCCACCCAAATCT